TCACACCAGCATGCTCAGCTGCCATAGCACACAGGTACCTTTATTTTCAAGCTAGCAGTATGGTAGCTCTTGTCGTAACAGGGGCCTATTTGCTACTTCTCCTAAAAAATGTGAGTCCTTGTAGGAGCTCAGTCCCTGTTTGGTGAGAGAATGAAGCAGCACATAGTCTCTAAACACTTTGGCTCTCATTATTATTGGCATCTTTGTAATAGGTTACCTCTTCAATCAAATTGAGGTGTTATCATCCTCTGTTGATAAAGCTGAATGCTTTGCCCATAAATTCTCCTCAAACTCTAACCCTGACTCACCTTGAGTATCCCTGTCTAACTTCCCACTTACAACTGATTCTCTATTGAATGATATGTATATAACCCCTTCCATAGTTTAAGAAGTGTGCTTTTGAACTGGCTCCTGTTCTCTCTAAACTGTATAATAAATGCCTCACTGCTTCCTACTTTCCTGCCTTCTAGAAGTCATTGTTTATTGTTCCAGTTTTAAGAACTCTGGTGAACCATCCAACACATTGAAGTACCAGCTTATTGGCCTTCTACCTCTTTTTGGGAAACAGCAAGAGGACTTAATCAATGCTGAATACATCATTTCTCATTGTAGGGCCTTTTCTCAGACAAACAATATGGCTTTCATTTTTCAAGGTCAACTGCTGATATACTAATAATAATTGTGGAAAGAGTCTATCATGCTCTAGATAAAGGTGGTGAAGCCCAGATTTTAGCATTGGACATCTCAAAAGCCTTTGACAGGGTCTGACATTCAGGTCTTCTTCACAAGTTGAAAGTTACAGTATCTCTGGACACATTTTTGAGCTGAGTCAGTCATTCCTATCAAATTGGGAAATGAATAGTGTCCTGAGTGGCCATTTATCTATATCCTTTTGTAGCAATGTGGATGTTCCCCAGGTCACCATCCTTTATCCTACGCTGTTTTTAATCTTTATTAATGACCTTCCTCATGACATCAGCTCTCAACTCCTACATTTACTACTGCCTTGATAGTAAGGTTGATTAGACTGACAAGGTCAAAATGACAGCTGATGTACAAAACAACCTCAAGACTCTCATTAACTGGAAGAAAAGATGGCTTGTTCATGTTAATGCTTCCAAAACTAAACTTCTCTCAGTTAATCATCTTGGAGAGCCCTCTCTGCCTTCCATCAGCATAGTTGATGCTATCCACCATGAAAATTATTCACTGCATCTTCTTGAGCTCACATTCTCAGCTGACATGAAGTGGAAAGACTATGTTGAATCTATTTCAAGGTCAGCTGCTAAGAATATCAGTTCACTGTGTTGGGCAAGATAATTTTTCTCTCTGAAATCTATCTTGCATATCTATAAGTCTACAATTCGCCCATGCTAAGAATATTACTGCCATATATGGTTTGGTGCCCCTGCTATTTACCTGGAGCTCCTTGATGAGAAAAATCAGCAAGATTATTGGTCTTGATAGGGTGCATAAGGTTGCATCTTTGTGCCTTTATTATAAATACCTTCATGAAAATTGTTTGGATGAGCTCTTCACTATGGTACGTAGACTATAAATTTAAGCACAATACTAGACTGGAAATGAGATCTCATCAATTTACATTTGAGCTAGCTCGATGTAGCTAAAACTTCTATGCCAGCAGTTTCTATTCTTGCACTTCTTGCTTGTGGAACTGACTTCCAGTCCAATGCTTTCCAGCCAAATTCAATCTGCAAAAATTTAAATGCAATGTCATCACTATCTATTGTACTCCTGATTGTTCTTTTCTCTTTCTACTCATTACTAAAGTTCCTGCTGCTAATTCATCCACACCCTGTAGCTCTTTGTGTTTTAGTGGCTGTACTGCCTTGCTTGGGGTGATACCAATTTAAACAAAAAAAAAAAATGAAAATCTACTATTTGCTATTATCACTTGGGCAATTTAACCCAACCAGACATTTGTTTTCACTGCCAATGCATGGTACTGGTAATGTTAAAATTAAAATCAACCATTTCCATATACACCTATTTATCTATCTTTCTATGGATGCATGATTAAACTGGTTATGACATTCAATTTCTGATTCTTGCTCATGCAAGAATAAAAGTGTCATTGTACCAATTTTATTCATCAAAAAAGGATAGTTTAGTTATTTCCAACAAAACTTGAATACATTTGTTGTGGCTTTAAATAACCTACAGAGGGTTGACAATCTGTAAGAAAAAAAGTCAATCTCATTCTTCATTTACATTTTTTTATTTTTATTTTTCTCTAGCTTCCTCCACGTTTTCTTTACTACTTCTATTTTTCTTTCTCTTTTTTCTTATTCTTCTATTTTTCCCCCCTTGTAAACAAATTTCCTTCTTTTTCTTTATAACTTGAGTGTTTGCATATGTTGCATCTAAGATGGGGATCATTCTTCTTTTCTTTCTTTTTTTATGTTATACTTTTGATTCTGCAGAGATAATGAAACAGAAGAATTGGTTTTGTGATCTTCTGATAGAATAGTAACGATTTTGATTTTCAGAGTAGATTATTGCTTGCCTATTTCACAGTATTCATGTGTTACTCTTCTTTTTTTGAATCTTTTTACTTCTGTCTGAACTTGATTTTCTTTGCTTTCTCTCAAGGACATATAATCCTCTTGTCTGATATTCAGAGATGAAATATTTTCATTACTTTCTTTGTTTTGTTTTTACTTGGGCCTTTATATTTGTTCTTCAAGATATAAAAGCTGTAGGGACATTATTATTATAAACAAATAAAAATAAAATGTAAAATAATAATAATGAAAATTATTAATAAAATGATAGAAAAATAACATAAAAACTTGTATAGAATAAATAAAAATTAAAAATAATAAAAATACTCCCAGCATACAACTGTAACAGGGCAGGTAAGTTAGGGTTAATGTATTATTTACCTCAATGCTATATGTATTTGTAGTGTAGGAGGGAACCTTTTCTCTTTTTATATTGAAAATTAAAGGAATTAAAACATACAACAATAATATAAACAAAAACTTGAGACATGTTTTGATATACATGGGAAGAATTTGTATTTTCTTTTTTATGTGAATTACATAATGTTGGTAGGGTCTGTGTAAAAAAAATGTCCACAGTGTTTCTGTTTTTTTTTTTTAAGTCAGTGCTTTGTTTGGTTCTGTGAATTTTTTTGTGAGGATGGCGTTTGAAATCATCTGTTTTCAATGTTCACAGAGTGATGGCAAAAACATGAGTTTCTATACTACTACTTGTCTACTCTACTATTATGTGTACCATAGTTTATACTACTCTACTGGCTCTCTTGTGGTAGAAGGGTCATTTTTATAATGATGAGGATTAGAATGATGAAATATCCTTTTTTTCTATCATCACCAATAACAAGGTTATTTTTAAAATGATGAAATATCCTTAATTTTTTATCATCTCTTATGACAAAGTTTATCATTCTAAAAATAACTATCATCATTCTGGACCATAACACAACAAAATCTACCCCTGACAGAAATACGGACATCCTGCCAAATGATGTTAAATTCAACCTCTTGACTATGAACCTTGGTATGGGCAATACATGTTCGATTTCTCTCTCTCTGATATGGCATGTAATAACATGAAGTAACTTCTTTACTCATTACATGTACCATGATACAATTGTAACCTAAAAAATATACAGCAATACACATAATAAAAATATAAATAAATTGTATGAAATTATCATACAGTTTACCATACTTTCCTGTTATTTCTGTATGTTTTATTTACTATCAAGTATGCTTTTATCTCTGTGAATACAAGGCTAATTTCTGCTGCTACCATGTGAGTGACCCCTGACAACATTTTGGTGACCACTGACATGTATAACAGAAACAACCTATTCACCAACATAGCCTATTGTGACAAGAAATATAGTCTTTGTCTTTGGGGTTTTTCCTCTTTATTTTAACTTTTTTCTTTTCTCTTTAATCACCTTTCTTCATCTTCATCTTCATCTTCCTAAACTTCCTCCCATTCTTTAGGATGTGCAGCTGGATAACAGTTTGAAATCAGAAATCAAAGAGCCAAGTTCAAATTCCAGTTGGGTTTGTTACCTTCACTTAAGCATAAGTACACACTTGCAAAAGGTGTGAATCAGTTTCCTCCCAGAGCTATAGGTTGACAAGTAGAACTAGTATCTGTAAAAATCATGATTCTCAGAAAATTGTTAATGCAATATTCACTTGGAAAAAGAAACAAATTATTTTTACAATAAGTCAATCTCATTCTTCATTTACATTTTTTATTTTTATTTTTCTCTAGCTTCCTACACTTTTTCTTCTTTATCCTCTTCCACGTTTTTTTTACTACTTCTATTTTTCTTTCTCTTTTCTCTCATTCTTCTATTTTTCCACTTTGTCTTTTTTCTTTTCTTGCTCTATTTTCTTATCTTTTTCCTTTTTCTTTTTCATTGTTCTTTTTTCTGTTCTTTCTCCTTTTTTCTTTTTCCCTTTTCTTTTTCCTTCTTTTTCTTTTTTCTTTTTATTCTTTTTCCGTTTCCTTTTATTCTTTTTCCTTTTATTCATTTTCTTTTTCTTTTCTCTTCTATTCACTTAAATTTGCTGTATTGTCATGCTACAGAATCACTCATCAGGTATTTGCTTACTGGCATATTGTACAGACACAATTTATCCCAGTTCTAGCAATTCTTAATAAAGCATACTCTTTGAATCCTGCCAGACAGAAAAACTGTCTTTCTCAGGAGATTCTGTTAAAGTTGAAATACTGAAGTCTCCCCAGAACACTGTCATGGTATTTTAAATGTGGTTCCCTGTAGAAAATAACCTTTTCATTGCTAGTGACTATCTTATCCTAAAAGAACATTGTTCCATGTGAAACAAAAAGAGGAAGATAAGGATTTAAATGTTAAATCATATCTCTTTCTGTAAGTTCATGGGGCAATGCATTTTACTAGTTGGTGAATTTTTCTTAAGACTTTTAAGCAACATGCTACAATTAAGTGATTGCAAAAATAATACCTCGTTCTTATACGATCACTGATGATAAGCAATATTGAGCCTGGTCAGTACTTAGATGAGTGACCACTTGGGAATACCAGATGCTGTGCTTGGATATGTGGGTGGTGCAATGCTCTGAATTGGAAATTGGGGAAAGTTCATTATATTCACTTACTCACATATATTCTTGAGAAAAGTATGAATTTCCCTCTTCTCCTCTAGCTATGGGTTAATTAGTAGATGTATCAGTAATTCAATCAATCAAGCAAAAGTAATAAAAAAAACTGAGTTAATGTAAGAGAACTTTACAAGATTTTGCCAAAAAAATGAGAACATTTGTATCAACCTAATTGTAAATTTCGGAGCAAACATGAAATGATGACATGCAAAGAAATAATTTTGAGCAATGTAGATCCCTTTATAGTGGAGTAATGGATAGCGACTCAGATTGAGGAATTGGATAGCCAAGTTTGAATTCCAGTTGGATCCATTACATTCACTTACGTGCTAATACCCTTGGGAAAGGGTATGAATCCTCTTCTTCTCTCCACAGTTATGGGTAAATAGCAGGACAGACCAGGTTCTATAACCTTGGACAGTAACTGGTCTACCACAGAAAGAAATGGCAACCTACTGTGGGAAAAAAATTTGCCTCATCAGTAATGTATCAAAAGAAACATGATCACCTAAGCATGTATCAGGTATGGCACATAACTGAACTGAGATCACTTCAGTAAAAATCATTCAAATAAGAAGACTCTTTGGATTGAATTAAGTTTAACCAACTATGTCAACAATCATGTTGCCAACAGGAATTGGATTATGAGTTGGGCAAATGGCAATATTTAGCTCATAGAGAGTCAGTCAGATGTTGGTATTCACAAACAAGTCTTTTATGGATGGATAATGACAGAAGAACCTTTTATAGTTTAAAATATCCCCTTTGTGACCTGAAATAAATCATTAGTATTCATGCGGAGTTGACCTGAACTCTCAAGTATTAATTTCTGATTTTGGCTCTTCCCATAACAGAATTGTATTGTGTATAATGTGCTATTGTATTGCATTGTTCATGGATTCCATTTTCTGATTAAGACAACCAAAAGCATCAGTAATGACTGATCTCAAGATTCTAGAGAAAACGTCTATAGCAAATAAATAGAAACTAATAACCAATCATGTAGTTCACTCTCTTCGACGAACATTATGACAATAAATCAGACAACAAGATGGCTGACATATTTACTTGTACTTGTTTCTATACAAAAATGTTCTGCTATAATACATTCAATTATAGAATGATTTATAGCAGAATATTGATATAGCAGGATAAATGTTTTCTTTGTTGTTCTAAAGAAATATCCTAACATTTCCAGTCTGTCTCCATTTATAGAAAACATTATGAATGTTAATTATTGCTAAAAGTGTCTTGGTAAAGTTTCTGAATCATGCTTTTATGGAGTAAGATGGAATGGTTTGAAAGCAGAAGAAATCACTATCTTAGATGTACAAACTCTGAATTTTCAATCAATGTAATTCCTAATCTACAGCGTTCATCCTACTATGAATTAGCGGATTATGCCAGCCATTTAAATAGCTTATATCATGTATGTCGGTGTTTAAACGGTTTTTGTACATATATTTTATTGATATATATATATATATATCTCAAAATTAGCTGGCCACTTGTATTCGAAGGATACCTGTCTAATTATGGCAGCTCGTCAATCCCTATTGCAGACGCTCACTCAGGCACATTTGTGTTTTTCAGCAACCATGGAGCCAACCTGTGGTGTTTATAATGCAACTATGTTGAGTAGACCTTAGTTACAGTTTCTGGGAGAGGGCGTGTTATCTAGTGTGATCAACAACCTGTAGTATGGTTTTCAGGCACTTTCCAAAGGTGCTACATGCTGGGATCACTCCCTCCAGACCGATAACAGCAGGAAGTTTACTTCCTGACAAATCAACCATGGCGAGATTCAAACCCGGGTCTCATATATATATATATATATATATATATATAATATTAGTGGTTAATATATATACACACACATACACATATATATATTTATATATATATGATATTAGTGGTTAATACACACACACATATATATATATATATATATATATATATATATATATATGCACATACTCATACATATAAAAAGTTTCCAAGAGGATAGAATCCAGGTAGAACTCAATGTCCAGGACAGAGTATATATTTATATGTGTACATGTGTATATACGTATGTGTTTTTGGGCATAAAAATAGTAGGTCCTTGCTAGATTAAATATTCGTTATTTTTTTATATGTTTATATTAAATTTGTAACTTGTAGTTGATATTACTTTTGTCAATTTTTCTTGATTGCACAGCACCACTTTTATAAATGCCCTTCATTTTTAGTTACCCCCCATCTTCCCCGTTTTTCTCTTTCTCTCTCTCTCATCTTCTGACTTTTAAGTTTAGATTATATTGTCTTTTATTGTGTGTAGTGTTACCACAAATGTATAAACCCATTTCCGATATCAGTTTTTAATTTAATTTAGGTCAGCGATTCAGTAATGAATAATGCATTAGAAAATAACTCGTATTTATCTGTTTCTCACTCGTTTAAACCATCTTTTCACCTCTCTCTTTTAAACTTCTCTCTGTTAAATTTTAATCCCCACCTTCATTTTTAGGCCTTCCTGTTCTTATCTTATCTGTTACCCCTCTCTAATGCTTTCATTTACCTCTCACATTCATCCCCGACTCTCATTCATACATACACACTCACTAAATTTTATTTTTTATTCCCGGAGTTATTTTTTCTGATTTCTTTTTGAATTTGTAGGTGTCTGATAAATTGGATTGTAATTACGATTTTAATGCAATAAATTATAACCATGGAATATTAGTGTTTAAGTCTTTTTATTATATATATATATATATATATATATATATATATATACACACACATACACACAGTCTGTTCACACTTTTTATTCAGAGATTACAAGATTAATACAAGTTACTTAAGTGTCTATACAATCACAAGTGATGCTCAAAATGGTGGCCTTCAGCTTCCAGACATTTATTAGTACAGTGAATTACTGCTTGGGCAACATTGGCCAAAGAGTCCAGTGGGATTGCTGTACATGCATTTTCAGTTTCTTGTTTAAGGGCCACCAATGTATTTGGTTTTCTATGATACACAACATCCTTTAGGGTCCCTTACACTAAATAGTGTTATCACAATTTAATAAAAATATGAAAGATAAATTTTTCCTTCTTTAGATGTTAAGTATAAGTTACATTTATGTTTCCATTCTCTCAAAAACCTTGTCGTTGCTCACAGGTTTAGTCCATGTTATCCACTGCATCTTTCTGTAGAAGCACATTTCTATTGCTTCAAGTCTCCTCTTTGAGGAAATTGTTCAGCATTTTCTGCCATACAGGAGGACAAATATCATGTGACAATTTAGTACTCTTTTCTTTGTTTCTAATTAATTTTTTCTTTGTCTTAATACTCTTCTTAGCTTAGTTCAAGAAATCCTAAAGAAAAATATGCAAGTTCCAACAAGAGGTGTACATTCCTTAGATCAGTAAACTGAACTTTGCTTTATCATGATGGTCTCTTATGGCCAAATTGGTAAGGTGCACATTGGATCAATAGGAGAGGTTTCCCTTGGTTTTGCATGAATTAATGCACACTTCCTACTGTCTTTTTATTTCAGTTATATTTTTAATCTATATATTAAAATATTTTATTCAAATCTAAGTTGATGAAAACAAAAAAAAGAAAAAAAATATTTACAGAATTAGTTAGCTGACATTTTTTTTTTCCCTATTCAGATATATATATATATATATATATATATATATATATATAAAATATATTTCTGTGTTCGGTCAGTGTAAAAATATTTGCAATTTTTAACCATCAACTTTAAAGAAATGGGGTGGTAACACCTATTAGGATCCAAGTTATGGGCAAATAGTTAACTGCGAAACTGGGATCAAAACTTTATGAAAGTATAAAAATAATTTTTATAGTAAAAATACCAGCAATAAGTTTAAAAACAAAACAAATTACCAGCAATACTGTTGCAGCATACCTATGGATGATAATGACTGTGTCCCCATTCACATAAATACAGTAGTAAATACTGTATGTTGGTCTGCAATTGAAGATTCATTGTGGAATTCACTTGCCTCATTTCTAGCAGTTGACTTCTACTTCTACATGCCACTGTATCATCATTCATTACCAACCTTTGTGTGATTATTCCATTCAGTAACCTTCCCTAGGTTAAAACAAATTCATTTAAAAAAAAAAAACTCTGTTACCAGCAATACATTTGACTCTCGACAAAAACTATCTTTATAAAAATACATCAATGAAGCCCGATCTACAAACTGATTTCTTACAAAGAATGCATATTCTATTCATACAAATCTATTCTAAAAATCTTGTCAGTATTAAATAACTCAGTGAGTTTGATAGGCTGTGAAACAAACTAAACCAAAACTTTAAAGCAACATATCTCATCTTGGAATAAAAAGTTATTAATTGAAATCAGAACCACTGAAAAATATTGTTAGCAGTCATAAAAAATATAACCATAAATACATAAATGACTATAAAATTGCTACAAATTTCACCCCAGAATAAAATTCATTCTCTATCTAGTATAGGTGTGTGTGTGTTTTATTCATTCAGTTGTAATGAAGATCACTATTTTTATTAATATCATAGTCATAAGAGCTTTAAAAATAGGATCTATTTTCAGTGTAGTATGCCTTATATTTTTCCAGACTTACTTGACTTACTAAGTACCATACCAACATTTCAGATTGACCAGTTTGGGAAGCAGATCTGGAGTTAAGAAAGATTCCAATGAAAATACTGATTAGCCTGGAGATAAAGATGTTTTTATGTAGGCATACTTAAGATGATAATTCTTGCTAAAAATATAGAATCTAACTAATGGCAAATAAATATAAATCATTGAAATCAAGAAGTTGAAGACAAAAGTGGTTCTTTTCTGGGGTTAAGAACAATTCAGAAACAAAGCTCCTTACAGTTAATTGGTATAAGCCAACCAGCAACATCATTAAGA